GAGCCCATAACAGTTGGCATGTGAATGGGATGATCCAGGAGAGGATATAAGTGGTGATGGGGTGAGGAGTCGTCCTTTTGCCTCCAAGAGTACCAAATTCAGTGTCTCAGGGGAAGAGTCAGCCTTATCCAGGAGCAGAGGCAGCTGCTCCATGTAGCTGGAGAGAAGACTGAGTTGAAGCAGCCAAAGGTCTAGGTAGGTGAGTCAACAGAGAGGTGGGAGTCTGTGGAAGTTTTCTGATTGCTCCAATTTTCTCAGTGCAATGGGAAGCAAAGACACTGGCCGAGAGTGAGGATGGGGGAAATCATTGGAGTCTGAGGAGAGAAAGGATCTTGTCAGTCGGTCTCCCAGGAGATCAGGCGAGACAGCTGACTAAGAGTAGTGGAGTAGTTAAGTGCAGTGTGGTACAGTCGGCTGAGTTGTGGTTAATATTATGAGTCTTCCAGGGGATCGGGGAGGGGGGCAGTGATGATGACTAAAAAGGTCGTCTCCTCCTCCCCCTGCCCAGTGGCACAAGGGGAGGAGGGGAGAACAGTAGGAGGAGCAGGTGCCTCAGAGGAAAGCCACATTTGAGATAGAACAAGAAGAGCAAGAGAATAGAAAAAAGAGGCTGGGGGAAAGAGTAAATCTTACTGATGATGATCCTGAAGTTCCAGAGGGCATGGTGAATTCCAGAAGGTTCCAGAAGGCACAATAGAAGGGTTTTGGGAATTGGTGAGGAATAAGAGGGTTCTATGCTGGCTGATCTAGGCAGAGAATGTATTTAATGACAGGCTACTGGAGGCCATTTGGAAGCTTTGAGAACCAAACTTGGAAAACTAGCAGTAGAGAAGGTCAAGAACCCAAATCACCCCAGACCAGACTTGGAAACACAGTGCTGTTTCTGTTGCTGAAAACTGAGGGTCACATGGCCTGCATCATCCTTGTTGGCTGAGGACCTTGGATATTGCTGCTGCCCCAAAACTGCCAACCAAAACCTTTTCCCTGTCCCTCTTCCCTTCACCAGCTCCTGCTGTAAAGCCTGGACTGGGTGCATCTGATTTGCTGAACCTGACTCATAGACCTTCACCCTAGTTCAAGGTGAGCTCACAGAATCTCGGGAGGAAAAGAGGAGCAGTCTAGGAAGCCACACAGCCAAGAAGAGCATAGTGACAGCAAACCACACCATGGTACAATTTTTACAAAGCCACCCTTGTGCCACTCCATCCACACCAAGTATATAGGACTAGACTGGGGAAGCTCCCTACTATCCTCCCCAGAAACACTAGATGCTTCTGCCACTATTGCTGGAAGACAGTTCCAGCTCACATATCTGTTGCTTCAGGTTGCTGGTTCTCATATCCAAATCACGGGCAAGAAGGTTGATGGGCAGAGCCCATGTCTCATGAGCAACATTATGGGGGCCTAGGGAACATGGTGTTCGCAGAGTCTACCTTGAGAAGGAAGAACTCAAAATGTGAGAACTATCAAAGTAGAGAGATGATGTTCAAAGGACACTGTGTATCTCTGACAGATGTCAGATGTCCACTGGAGGGTATAATTCTTCAAAGCTAGGAAGAGGTTATAGATGTTGGACAGTCAAAAAAAATAACTAAGAAAAATGACAAGTAGCTACCATAAATATTTCTAATGTTCTTCTCATTCATAGCCCCAGAAGCAACTAGAAATTCCTTCAATTCATCATTCCACTACAATAGAAGCTTCTTGGTCCCTATTTTTGTCTATTTTATTTACCAGTGAATCTCAAGTGCCAGAAAGTGGCACTATATTATTTGTTGAATGGATTAAAGAAATTCATTTGCTGCACTAAAGAAATACAAACCTTCAGGTGGAATGTGGGTTTACAAAATTTGTAGTGCCAGGGTGACTCAGTCTGTTAAGTGTCTGACTCTGGGTTTTGGCTCAGGTCATGATCTCATGGTTCATGAGTTTGAGCCCCACATTGGGCTCTGCGCTGAAAGTGTGGAGCCTGCTTAGATTCTTTCTTCCTCTCTTTCTGCCTCTCCCCCTCTCTCTTGCTCTCAAAAATAAATAAATAAAAATTAAAAAGAAAACTGCCAGAGACAACTTTAATTTAGCTTGATTCAAACACCTATGGCAGGAGAGGCAGCAGCGTGAAATCCTTCCTCAACCACTTGGAACTGATAGTTTTAAAATAGAGTTGGGGGTGGCTGGTGGCTCAGTCGGTTAAGTGTCCGACTTTGGCTCAGGTCATGATTTCGCAGTTAGTGGGTTCGAGCCCCTCATCGGGCTCTGTGCTGACAGCTAGCTCAGAGCCTGGAGCCTGTTTCAGATTCTGTATCTCCCTCTCTCTCTCTGACCCTCTCCTGCTCACACTGTTTCTCTCTCTGTTTCTCAGAAATAAATAAAACATTAAAAAAATTTTAAAAATAAAATAGAGTTGGGTGGGGGGCCCCTGGGTGGCTCAATCGATTAAGTAACCCACTTTGGCTCAGGTCATGATCTCACAGTCTGTGGATTTGAGCTCTACGTTGGGCTCTGTGCTGAGCTCAGAGCCTGGATCCTGCTTCAGATTCTGTGTTTACTTCTCTCTCTGCTTCTTGTGTTGTTTTTCCTCTCAAAAATAATGAATAAACATAAAAAAAATGGGGTTGGAAAACCAAGGTCTAGCTCGCGATGGGAAAGAGAGGCAGTGGCAGGAAATCCAAAACAAAACCTGATGAGTTTACTGTAAGCTTATTGCAAATTTAGCAATTGATATAATTTCTGAATTTGCACTACTGTACTAGCCATGTTTATGATGCCATGCTATCACTTCAAACATATTTTATAAATATTTTTAAAAATTTTTTAATGTTTTGTTTATTTTTGAGAGCAAGAGCTTGAGGGGGGCAGGGGCAAAGAGAGAGGGAGACACAGAATCTGAAGCAGACTCCAAGCTGTTAGCACAGAGCTGGATGGTGGGCTTAAACTCATAGACCACAAGATCATGCCTTGAGCCAAAGTCAGACGCTTAACCAACTGAGCCACTCAGGCGCCCCTTATAAATAATAAAATTAGCAGACCTAAGGGGTTATGATTTACATTTCAATAAAGATTTCCATGGCCCAGCTGAGTGAGCTTTTACCTTCCTCTATTGTAGGTGGCAGAAAACATGAGGGAAGTATGACCCATGAGAAAGAGTAGAACACAGTAAAATGCAATTGAGACCTCTAAACTTTGCCTGAGCAATTCAGCCAGGGCGTTCTGTAACTCAGAAGGTGCCAGAGACTGAAACTGCACAAGTCATCCCTGATGGCAAGGCCCAGGGAAAAGACTGCAAGGCAGTCAGAAGAACCCCGTGAAGAATTCTTCTTCTCTGCTTAGTCTGTGCCTTTCACTGTCACTTCTGCTGTTAGTCTATTCTAGGGTTAATATGAAACCAGAATCGGCCAAATTTCCCCCTCTTCCTCCAAAATGGAATGTACATAAATATCATGTCTGCCCCCTCAATCAGATGTTGTTTAATGAATATTGTAGCAATTAGCAAAATTGGAGACAGTCCGGTACGCATGGGGTCCATAAGAGACCTAGAATTCATTTTCCTTGTATGGGTCTAATTGCCAGTAAGAATACATATTATGCATAGGCAGAGACAAAAACAAGACTTACTAGTTTTGGAGGACTTTCTTGGAAAAATGTTAGAGAAATATTTGCCTGCTGACCTGAAGCCTGTGAGGCAACTTATAGATTGTTCTGGCCAAAGAATGAGATCAGTAAATGCAGAGACCAAATTCTAGTTGATCTATGTAAAACATTTCCATACGTCATCTATGATAAGTGTTGACATTGTTCTTTCTTAGTAAGGGGTTGTGAGAGTCTATTACCTATAACCATGGGTACAAGTATATCCTGTTTTTGCACGCCCACTGAATTTAAACAATCAAAGTGCACTTTGTTTTCATGCATCCTGATTATATGCTTCACTTATTTCCTGCCATGTGTAGTAAAAAATATGTAGAACTTTGTTAGGACTACCTGGTTAAATTTTATCAATTTAAGTAGAAATTTTATACTGTGAAATCACTGTTGTTAAGAATATTTAGAAATATTAAATCCCATGACTGTTTTCAAAAAATGTAAATTGTTTAAGCATGATTGTTTGGATCTGCTATATAAAAACCCTAAGCTGAAAAATAAATTTGAGCAGTCCACATGAAGAGGCTGGCTCTGTGTCTTTTTCGCCGACTCCAACCATCACTCTCCAGGTCAACCCTGGCTTGCAGAGGCTGGACCCCTGCAACAAGGTATTATAGAATATCCCAGACCACGTCAATTTATCAGTTTACCACTCCTGAATAAACAAAAGTGCACGTGATGCTTTCATATTTTCTTATTAATCAGCAATTATTCCCATCTTAAAAAGGGAGTCTCAGATTCTGTATTTCTTACTTTCCTTCTCGGAAGGGGGATTTATAAACTCCAGTTCTGTCAGTGTGTCCTTCCTCTTTGCTGTGCTACATATACAAACATATATGTATATGTATTCCTAAATGGCACTGCACCAGATGGCAGAATTATTCTAGTTAATTTAAATAGAAAGAGATGTAATACGGGCTACTAGAAACTTATAAAATCTTTGCAAGCAGTGGGTAAGTGAACTCCAGGGTGAGCCTTTAAGAAAGACTCCTAAAAAACAATATTTGGGTTCTCTGATGTGCGTTTCCGTTGACATCTCCACTAAACTGTGGAGAATGAAGCTTTTGGCAACACACACACACTTTAAAGTCTGTGGCCCCGGCTTTTTCTCAGGCGTCCCCTGTGTCAGGCGTGCTTGGGCCGGTGAAAGTCTGGTAAATTGGCGTGAAGCAGTCAGCTGTCCCGGGACTCAAGCCCTAGCCGCCGCGGAGACAGGACCGCTTTCCCGCTAGGAGGCGACCCGGGCCGGACCAGGACAAGGGGCGGGGCGGGGCGGGGTCAGAGTCGGAGGGGGGGCCCGGCTCCACCAGTGGGTGGGTGTGGGGAGGGCCTCTCCAGTACAACTCCAGGCCTGTCTGGGCGCAGTTCCGGGCGCTTGGTGGCAGGCTGGAGGTGCCCGTGCAGGCCGCCATGGCGCTGCGCGCGGCCGTGTTCGACCTGGATGGGGTCCTGGCGGTGCCCTCTTTGGCCAGCGCCTTCGGCCGCGCGGAGGAGGAGCTGGCGCTGCCCAGGTAAAGGAGCCGGCGCCGGGCCAGAGGGCTGAGGGAGATTGGGGGGCGGGAGGCCGCTGGAAAGCTGCCTCTGGGGACCTCCGGCCCAGTTTTCACCCGGCTTAGGGCAAGAGCCCATCGAAAGGTTAAAACAATTACCCGGCCCGAAAATACCGGACTATGTCAGTAGACCTGTTTTTCTGAACACTAAGCAATTAAATCTCTCTAAAGACTCCAAAAATTGACCTTTATATATTTCCCAAAAGGAGAGGAACTGTTCGCCGCGCTTTCTGCTCTCCCCCTAATTCTAGGTATTGGAATGGGTCTTAACGACCCGCTGAAATTTGCAAGAGACCAAAGTTCTGTGCTTTGGTTGCTGTTCACTTATTAGACGAGCAAAGGAGAGAAACAGACCCAAAGCCTAATCGCTGGGAAATGATGGACTAGGAAGCATCACCAGTAAAGAGAATGTTCAGAATGAGATTCCAGTAACCTCAGAAAAGACCTGTTGTGATAATTGGAAAAAAACAACAACATCGGAATGTAAAACAATTAATGCAGCATGGTTTCAAATATGGGGGTGGGTGGGTGTAAGTTATATGTAGAAAAGTGTCTGAAAGAAGTATTCCGGAATTTCCTGGGATTGTTAATCCCACGTGAGGTTATGAATTATTTCCTTCAGTTTTCTACTTTTTGCGTTTTCCAAATGCAAACACCTGCTTATGAACATATGTTTCTCCTATAGTCAGAAGGAAGGAAAGCATATTTGTTTAAAAAGGAAAGAAAGAAAGAAAGAGAGAAAGAGAGAAAGAGAAAGAGAGAAAGAGAGAGAGAGAGAAAGAAAGAAAGAAAGAAAGAAAGAAAGAAAGAAAGAAAGAAAGAAAGAAAGAAAGAAAGAAAGAAAGAAAGAAAGAATCACCCTGGCCATACCCGCAAAAGACTAAATTCCAAACTAGTGGCAAGAATGAGAGGGTGGACGCTTTGAGAATTCTGCACTGTTTTGTTTCATGTCAAATGGAGTCAAACTCCGAGATGGAGTTTGGTTTTGGCAGCAATTTATTTAACACAGTTTCACTGTGGGTATTTCACAAGCCAATAGCATGCAGGATAATGTCCCTTCATAAACCAATAGACAAAAACATACTCGCAAACAATGATAAATAATCCCATTATTGTTCCAGTTAAGAGGGTCTGAAAGAAATGAAGTCCAAATGTAGTTGAGGTGTACCGTTATCTGGTTTTGTACTTGTGAGAGACGGTTTAGCCAATTGAAAGCTGCCCTGCAGCTTGCGTTGCAAAAGTTCGTCTTCCGTTGCCAGAACGCGTTGCTAGGCAACGATGGCGCCAACATTGGTGGGCTAGAGGGCTTTCTTCCCTAGCTGGAGGCTATTCCTCAAAGAGTGACTTTTATCAAGGCAAAGGTTAATTGCCCCCAGGGCTTGGGAGAGCTATTTAGAGGAGCAGAGCCAGCCCTCCCCCACCCTCCTCCGCCCAGACCAACTACTCTTTGGATAGTCCTCACAGACTCCTGTCTTGCTTCCTCAACGTTTTTATTCAGACACCCAGTGAGGCCCTCAGCAGTTGAGCTGTTGAATGCTTATCAAGGGCAAAGGACAGTTATTGACGTTTTGTTTCAGCTTACCTCCCTCCTTTCAATATAACTTCACATCTAAGGACAACTTTTTTTTTTTTTAATCTTTTGTCATGAACACGTGGATTTGAAATCTTATCAAACCAATACAAAACATGCCCCATTCTAGAATTCTTGTGATACCAAAGGCCAACCAGGCTTTCTATTCTATTGTATAAATTATAAAAGACTGGTTAGTGCAAGCATGCCAAGCCGAAAGGGGTCTAACCCTCACTCCTACAGATGGGGAAACTGAAGCTTAGCAGGGGACTCACTTGATCTCTTTAGTCATTAGACACAGGCCACCACCAAACCAGTTTTTCTGCCTTCCTGTTTAGGCTTCTTTCCTCTCTGGCTCATCATGACTTCCCACCTCCCTTGGCTATTGTTCAGGAAAAGATACCAGTCTGTAGGGGATGAGTAAATACACGGTAAGTATGTCATAATAAATTGGCATCAATATGTCAACATCAGTAGTAAGTGTATCAATAATTATTTGTTGTAAGTAAACACAAATAAGGTGACTACAGAGTCCACAATTGGAATAATCACACCCCAGGTCATTAGGATTTGAGAGAAGTCTTGAAAACAGAGGCCACCTTTGATCCAGGCTTGTCCAATTCAGATCATTTTACAGGAGTGAGAAGCTGAGGAAGGATTAGTAAGTTTTATTTTTTATTTTACGTATTTATTATTATTATTTCTAAAGGTTTATTTTTGAGAGAGAGAGAGTGAGATGAGGAGGGACAGAGAGAGGGAGACACAGAACCTGAAGCAGGCTCTGGGCTCTGAGCTGTCAGCACAGAGCCCGACACAGGGCTCGAACCCACGAACCATAAGATCATCACCTGAACCCGCGTTGGACACTTAACAAATGAGCCACCCAGGTGCCCCAGTGGTTTTATTGTTTAGGAACTCTTTTAACTATAGTGTTGTTTTGCTTCCTTTTGACTCATAAATTTTATTTTATTTTATTTATTTAAAAAATTTTTTTAATGTTTTTTAAATTTGTTTCTGAGAGAGAGAGATAGAGAGAGACAGAGACAGCATGAACAGGGTAGGGTCAGAGAGAGAGGGAGACACTGAATCTGTCAGCACAGAGCCGTCGCGGGGCTCAAAACCACGAACTGTGAGATCATGACCTGAGCCGAAGTCAGATGCTTAACCGACTGAGCCACCCAGGCGTCCCTTGATTTTATTTTTAGAAGACCTGAAAAGAGAGTAAGCTGTGAGCTATATTTGTGCCTGTGATCTCATCAATGTGGGGGTGAACGTGACTTGTGAGGGTACAAGTCACAAGTATACATGTTTACAAATGTGGGGTACTTAAAAGAGCACTGATCTCTGAGTCAGGCCCAGATTAAAAATCTCAGCTCTAACATGCACTGCTGGGTAACCTTGCTTAATCGGTTTTAGTCTTAGTCAACTCCTCTATAACCTTAGTCTTCATGTTAAAATAAGAAAATGCCTTCTAGAAATTTTTGTGAGGGTTAAACTAGGTAACATGGAAGGTAGATGGACAGCTGTATTGTGACACATTTTTTATTTATAAAAGTCTCATGGATGTGTAAAGTGCTCCATTGGGCATATTCTGTTTCTCTATAGTTGCCCAGACTCATGCACTCTTTCTATGGCCATGGTTAAGATTGTTCCTGACAGCCATAAAACAGGTCATAGCAAAGCTAGCCGATGCCAGGAGGTCAGAGTCCGTAATCTTGACCTTCTTAGCCTATGGAGCCTGTGAATCAACCATGAAGGTATTCATTCAGAAGGTAAGCCTGGGGTGCCTGGGGAGCTCAGTGGGTTAAGCGTCTGACTCTTCATTTTGGCTCAGGTCATGATCTCGCATGTGGTTGTGAGTTCAAGCTCCATGTTGGGCTCTGCACTGACAGCATGGAGCCTACTTGGGATTCTCTCTCTGCCACTCCCTTGGGCTCTCTCACTCCCTCTCTCTTAGATAAATAAACATTGAAAAAAAAAAAAAGGTGAGCCTGAAGAAACTGCCTTACACTGTACATTTTTAACATGCTTGCCATCTGGTGTGCAAACTCAGAATCCACAGATAGCCAGAGTTCAAGATGAAGGCAGTGCCGTAAGAGGAACAAAGTTCTTGGGTGGCTCAACGGGGACAGATTAGGTCTGAGTTGGAGAACCAGGAAAGCCTTAGTGGAGGCAGAGCCCAAGAAGACTGGTAAGAGGTTGATGCAGGAGAGATGTGAAGGGAGACCCTTCCAGATGAAGGGAGCAGCATGAGTAAAGGCTGGGGGGTGGAAAGCATGGAATGCGTGCTGGGACACTGAGTATTCCATTGTGGCCAGAGAGGAGGGGTATTGCAGGAGAGAAGTGGGGGATTTGCTCGGGCCTGTGCTATAGTGTGACATGAAAGTCACTGAGCGTGTCCCTACTTTGATAGCCGGTGGCTCTCAGGGATTTGAGATGGGGTGGAGGGAAGTAAAATCACTGGTGTTCTAACGCAAGGTAGCCAGTTGTTGGGGCGATGGGTCAAGTACACTGGTCAGAGGGAAGAGGCTGATGCTCACATGGGATCCGGGAGTTTGGCAGCTTGCTGGTAGAGCAGTGTGGGGTGATGGAGAACCCTGGGAGGGGTTGGAGCTAAGATGAGTGAGTCCTTCTCTGAGCGAGGTCACTGGCGTGAAAGGTGAGGAAGCTGTGCTGCAGGACCCAAGGAAGCCTGAGAGCCTGGGAGGAGAAGCCGTGGGGGGAGAGGGCAAGAGGCCCCTGGACATCGTAAATCCCTGCGATAGATACCATCGTGTAGCAGGAGGGAAGGGGAAACTTCACTCTCAGAGGTGGCCCCCAGACCAGAGTACTCTGAGGGTCAGGGTGCTGGACATGACAATTACCTTGACAGCTGAGGCTAACATGATCTAGAGGAACCCGGATGGCACCCTGAGATCTGGATCCGCTGTGTAGACAGTTGTGTGCTTCACGTAATACCTTCTCACACAGCTTTGCTGTGGATGGTCTGCCCAGTGCACCTGGACTTCACGGATACCAGGGATGGGGAGAGGATCTACTCCTTTCAAAAATGTGTGGTCTAGGGGCATCTGGGTGACTCAGTAGGTTAAGGGTCCAACTCTTCACTTTGGCTCAGGTCATGATCTCACAGTTCATGAGTTGGAGCCCCACATCAGGCTTTGCACTAGCAGTGCAGAGCCTGCTTGGGATTCTGTCTCCCTCTCTCTCTGTTCCTCCTCTGCTTGTGCTCCTCTCCCTCCTTAAGTAAATAAATAAAAATAAACTTAAAAAAAATGTATGTTCTCGAACCTGAGGTGCTTGTTGTATGCAGTGCTCAGTAAATGTTTTTTAGCAAGAGAAATGGGGTCAGCAAATACAGAAAGGATATTTGAGAAGCGGGTCTTTGTATCCA